TTTATTTATTTATTTATTTATTTATTTTAAATTTATTTATAACGTTGTGCATAGGGCAAACGCAAGAAAAATGAAGTTAACAAAACACAACTGAAGTTACAGACGGATCCTATATAAACTAGTGCTCACTAAGACGCAGCAATTTCAACTTATTCAGGCGCTTGAAAAGTCGGAAAGCTGGAGACGTTATCACTACCGTAGCTTTAGAGACGTGAAGTCAGACCCTGCCTAACAAGTGAAGCTTTGCCGCTTTATATCACGTTAGGCGAGGCATACGATACTTTATTGACCACCCTCTAGTTCCAGTTCTAGAGTTATCCAAGACATAGTATTTAGACATCAATCCTAGCAATACCAACCAGCAGCTTTAGAACAACACACACATAAAAATACTTTCTACGGGAACAAAGAGTGCAATTTGTACTCATTATTCCTACAAGACATGTGAAGTGGCTTTGAATATTTATGCCGTTCAGATCTGAGGAATATTGTACGGGTATAATTGTAATATTTTGAATTTTTCGAATTAGTTAAATTTCCTTCTTCTTATACGGGCAAAATACTGATAGGCTACACTCCGCAATCGGCCTTATGCACGTTTTATAAGCCCTTATAGAGAGATCTTCATCAGAGATTGTAAGACCCTTGAAAATTTGGTATGTCCGATGTAAGTAGCTTTCTTGTATATCATTCCAAATGTGGGATGAAGCAAAATTTATTAACATAATGAAAAACAAATCTTTGACGGAAGAGACACTCTTGAAAAAATGATCGTCAAGTTGATAGGTTTGTATCAGACTAGAGGTACCCATTCTCATATACACAGTCTTTTCAGGAGCTAGTGGCCATCTCCATTATTAAGACCATTCAGAAATAACGTGTAAAGCATTTTGGATCATTCTTATATCATCTTCACCTTCAATTATCCTCTAGATTTTAATATCACTATTTATTTAATGTTATGATTTTACACTTGTAAGAGTAAATAATACCTTCTTGTATTTCCGACACTTCTCTCTTGTTCGCTCATCATTTCGTAAATTGACCGTAACGAGCTGATAATTGACACCTTTCAAATAGCATTTCATCGACCTTNTGGTGCTGCAAAATTAAAAGAACTAAAGATCGAGTGATCGGTCTTTTGATATAGGCCATGCATTTGGCTTCTATTCGAAATTGTAGAAAGGCTCGAGCCTGGACATATGTATGGTGACGCCATCAGTTGACGCCATCAATGTGTGATTTTGTCCATCCGAGCAGCAACATCAACAGGAGCGATTGTCGCTTCTTTCCAAACTTTCTCCCTCCTTCTTGCTCACTACGCTTTTTTCTCAAATGATTGCAACCAAGGAAACGCCAACCCCGCCAGTCGCTATATTTCCCTATCAGGGGAATGATCCCCAGTGAAAAGGGTCATTTCAAATGAGATTTGTATGCGGTTGTTTTTGGGTGCTGATCCCATATCTGCTTTTCGAAACAGCCGAGCGATTCTCTATACGGAACTGTAAAGACGACATGAGGTGAAACTTAACATGAGCGAGCTCTCAGCTGTTGCTGCTAGCAGTGCTCGCTGTGAGATTATGTATGAGAGACCTTGGACTGGTTTTAATGTTTACGAGGCTTGAGCATTCTAAAGAGCTTTGCTTCAGACTCAGAAGTCCCTTCTATGTCGATTATTCCGCCTTCTACGATCTTCTGATGAGCCAAGTGGTCGGAACGCCCGGCTAACGCCGAATTCTCTTCTATTGAGTGAAAAGTTTATTTGTCGCCCACAACCGCAAATTTGGACACTGGTGAAGGAGAACAGGAACTATCAATCTCCCGCCAAACGCACACGCTGCTGGCACACTCCGTTAAGGCCACACCCGTCGCGAGTGGAGCTCTGCTCAACTCTTGTGTGTTGGAGTGGCTTGCTTCATTTACCTCTTTTTTCAACCGAACTGTGCAAATTAAGTCAGATTACACTGGTTCATGCAAGTTCCGCCCACCAAAACCCTCGTACGCCTCTCCCCATCTTGGATTGGACTTTTCATGGACTTTCCACCACCTACCATCAGGTCCAAACCTGCCTCCTATCAAATTTGAACGCTTGCTGTCCAAACTGACAACTTTCGCGTTTACGCCCCGCCCTGAGGGCAGGTCTAGTCCTGTGATATATCACCGGTATTCCCACATAGCCCCCAGAACTCCTAACAAATTTGAACTCTCTATGTCCAAACCAAAAATTCCGTTCACGCTCGGCCTTGGGCGGGGTCGAATTCTATCACCCATAATCAATGTTTCCATAGTGCCGCCTCTACTTCCACCAAATTTGAACGCACTAGACACAAATCAAGCTCCAGTGGGTGGAGACTAGCCACCCATCGTCAGTGCTCCAATACTGCCGCGAGTACTCCTACCAACTTTTACTCTGTAGGTCCACAGGAACAAGAGTTACGATTTTACGGACAAACTTTCCACTTACGCCCCAGGAATTATGAGTTTTCGCTCACACACATACATACACATACACCCACATACACATTTAGCATGTTATGTATTGTAGAAAACTTACTAGACGGCTTTTAGCAACATTGGCCGCTTGGCACGATCGCGCCCACTGAACTTCCGAACCGCGCGTGAAAACAGACACGCAGAGTTAGCGCTTTGTATCTTGTATACAGACGACTATGAGCCGCTGAGAGTTCCCCATCAGTTATTATCCTCTATATACAATATACAAAGCGCTAAGTTTTCGTGTTTGTTTTTATGCTAATGTCAGCCAGAAAAGACTTTTCCAATTTCGAAGAAAAAGCTCAAAAACAAAAAAGAAGTCTGCGGTGAGGAAGGACGTCTAAGGCTGTGAATCATAACCTCTCTGCTTTTTGGCGTGGGATGGTCCGTATTTGATAAGTCGCTGACAAGCGGTTGTGGACATGTGATGCGCGCGTTAGCGTGCGTAGCCCAACCGGTGTAACAGTAAGCTGAATTAGATTATGAAAACTTCCTGAAGGGAAGAAATAATTGGGAGCGAGTTGTTAGTGGTAGGAACTGAATGCACACTCGCTCCACTCTCCTTGTGGACTTTGAAGCTAAGGGTCATAAAGTGTGCATTTTCTTCGGAAATCCACTTCGATCAGCGTTGCACATTGCATTTAATAGCCATCTTCCCAATTATGGGAGCTGGCAGTGTTGAGCAACATTATAACGAAACCGGAAAAGTCTTTGGAAAGGTGCTGATGGTATAACCCCTATCTTTTCTCAACTCGTTCAGCATTCGTAGAAGTACGACATCTATCTAGGAAAATCTTAATGAAGGCGGTGATGCGTGCGGGAAAACTATCTATCAACTTCTGTTCTTTCCTAAATGGGACACATTCAGTATCTCAAGCACCGAAATCTTTAGCAAGTGCTACACTACTAACTCTAGACACAGTATACTTTGTATGATTTTGTCTCAATCGCCCATTTATAGCACACTTTTACCATGATGGCCGGCAACTCCAATTATGCTCCTATCATTTGCAAAACTAAGTTGGTAGCCTCTCTTGCTTTACCCTCGGCATAGTTGTGATTAGAACCAGTCGGACCGCCCGGCTAATGCCAGGCCGTCCTCCTTCTTGTGTCAAACACCCTATCCCAAGAAATGTTGAACTAAAGAATTTTTTCCTTCTTTTCAAAGTTTATAGTTTTTAAGTTTCTTCCGCTGTTTAGCTGAGTGGGAGTATTAAACTGAAACAGAGCTCGAAATTCTTCTTTGACACGACAGAAATCGAAAGCTACCCTAATTCTTTGATAAAGTTATAGTAAGTCTGACTCTCCACTTCTTCTTTTAAAACAAATAATAGTTTCCCGTACACGAAATCTGACACGGACTTACAGAGCAGTGCAAATGGTATTCAGTTAAAGTC